CTCCACCTGGGCGCTGTCGCCAGGCACGGAAACACCGTCCCAGCCAGGCTTTCCTGGCTCTTGCTACCGCGAGAGCCTTTTCTCGCCGTACCTGCTTGAGCTGGCAGAGGTGGCGCCAGGCTTCATCACTGAGGTAGGGTTGGGACGGCTTAGCCCTTGGTCTACGGGGGAGAAGACTATCCTGGAACCGCTGGTATGTTTGTGACCGGGAGGGGCGCTGTATACGAGACTCTGCATTGCGCCTCGGACACCAGCCAATGGTCAAGGCGTTTGCTCAGACCGCTGGCGTGTTGCCAGGTCCAATCATGGCCGTGATGGATTGTGGTGAAGGTGGCCGGGGCCACCAGCCTAGCCTGTCTGCTCAGCTGAGCTAGTTTATCATCACCGAGCCGGGGAGCCTGCAGAGTGACCCTGCGACCGACGAGGACATCGTCAACGTCGGAAGCTGCGAAATCGGCATTGGCATCAACGCCTAGCATGAGGGTAGCATCGGAGGGAAGATGGCTAAGATGCGTCCCCAGGGCCCCCCAGAACGCGGAAATCTCCGTGCTCGGCCTGTCAGCATGGGGGGCATGTGCCGAGACAATGCACAACGGGGGGGAGACCGAGCGTGTTTTGATGACAAGCATCTGCGGTGTGGAGCAAACAATGACCCATGCGTCCAGAGAGTCGCAGTGCGGGACCCAGTCAGAGCGCAGCCAGATTTCACATCCGTACTGTCCTTGCCGGTCCGCACCGGAGCGCCACGTCAGGAAGTCGCCAGAGACCCAGCGACCCTGTCTGGACCTGCACTCTTGCAGGGTGACGAGGTGCACTTGCAAATCCCGCAGTTGTTTGTGAAGATAAGCCCGGCGTTGTCCCGATCCAGTTCTATTAAAGAAATGCGGCACAGTATCCTTAATGGACTGGATGTTAGCCTGTACCGCCCGAAATGCGAGGTGGGCCGGTTTGGGTGCGGGGGGCACCTCCTCAATGTCGTCGGCTTCAACGTGTCGAGAGGCGGTGGCTGCCTCTGGCATGGGCACGTCCCACTGGAGGAGGACTCTCGTGCCATCAACAACTCGCCCGTATGGCACCAGCCAGAGATCATCCGCTGCCTCTGCCCAAAGCGCCGAATGATGTGGCGCGTGCACCTGACGCTCGACACCTAGGTTGCCATGCTTGGCCGCTAAGCCGGCCAGAGCGTCGACAAGCTCATTGACAACAAAGCCTGCATGACCTGGGACATGTGCAAACCTAGTAGCAATGCGTGTTTGCAGGGCTTGCCATGCTCGACGGGCATCCTTGGCCCACCCGGCCACAGCCGAGGCATGACCGGCCGCAACACTGAGTTGTCCACAGCGGCAGTGATGACGGTGGGCTTGGTGTGCCACGCTGCCGCGTTAGCATCCAACCACACGCATGCCCACAGAGCTGCAGTCTGGAGTGCCGCAAGTTCTGCGGCGTACGAGAGGAGCCCAGGGGCGATTGACCATTGCTGACACACGACGCCGTGCTCCCATCCCAGCCGGTACCATTGCCCTGCATGCCACCCCCAGGCCACGAAGGCCCACGCACCAGTATGCAGGCCAGTGCCATCAGTAGAAATCAGAACCTGCTCAGGAACGCCGCAGGTCCAAGTCGGGTACGCGTACCAGGCCTGCTGCAGCTTCCAGGGTACTCGTGAGGGCAGGGATGTAGGAAGGTCGTCCGCCAGCCAGAACTCATATAGTTTCTCCTGTAGCTGGCCAGCTGGGGTGATGTCGGCTTCCCAACACGAGCTAGAGTGCCGCCTCCAGACAGGAGCCCCATGTGGACGGAGGTAGCACAGTCGAAGGGAACTCCCGGCGATGGCCTGTGCGACAGAGGTCGGGCGTGGTGGCGTCACGCTCCCCAAGTCGATGTGTGAGCCTGAATAGGGCTTCGACCATCGCTCAGATGCGGGCTCAGCGCGCGACTCGGGACTGAAAACCAGAGCGTTGGCCGGAGCGCTGCTTAGACCATAGGCGACCCAGAGAAACAGAAGGAGGGTGCGAGGGGCCTCCCCATCCAAGCAGCAGCCTCGGCATCCCCACAGGGTCAGAAGCAATGGCCAGAGAGGCCGGAGAAGGGTGGAACGGCTCGCCGGAACGCGGGGTGTAAGTACATCGCCATCCCGCAGAAGGACATCAGAGGGGTCCATGTTAGCGGTGCCGCGAACGACATGGGTGGGTGGTGGTGAGCGTGCAAGCTGACGACAGACAGGGCTCCTGTTCCATAAGACAACGTTGGCCCGATTGGCTTCGTCACTGCGTAGGCAGAGATGCAGGCCCGTGTCGGGTATCCATGGCATGGGCGCCCAACGGGCATGCTGGCCGCTCCAGTCAGTGACAAAACTAGCAGCCGTGGGGCGCCAAGACGCCCCGGCAGGCAGCGAAACAACCTGCTGAGGACGGTCTGGCCGCCAAAGGGTTACCTGGTCCCGCTGAGTCAGGAGGAAGGGCAACTGCCAAACAGCCTGATGCCGCGCCTGCTCTGCCGTCAGGAAGATGGGCATGGGCCCCGGGACTCGAGCTGATGCGGGGGGGCGAGCAATGATCATATCCCCATGCCGCAGCTTAGGGACACTGCCACCAGTCGGAGTGACACCGCTACCGTATGGCGCGAGATACTCCTGATCCTCACCTAGAGAGCGGGGGATCAGCCTCCAAGGCGTGTCCCGCAACAGCAGCCTAGCATGGACAGTGCCGCCAACAGAGACTGCAACACAAACCAGTGGCTTAGGCGGACAGGGCACAAGATGCAAAGCCCCCATGCTGACCGCAGGCCAGACCGGGGCATGACAAGCCCCCCAGTCCAAGAGGTCGTACTGCATGGTGGAAAAGACGTGCACGTCCGACATGTGCGTGTGAGGACGAAAGGGCGTAGCTGGTCCTTGGATGGGGCAGAGGGCCTGGACCCAAGGAAAGCTCCACTGTACTCCCCACACTGCTCAAGGAGGGGTTGGCAGGGTAGCTAGACTGCCCTACCGCAAGAACACGCGGTTCCAGGCGATGCCTAGAGCTGGCGGGCCTGCGCGACCTGGACCTGCTGGTAACTCTGGGGCAAGCTGAGGTGCTGGAGCTAGAACTCACTTCAAACTCCGCTTCCATAGAGAGGGCTGTATGTGCATTAAGCCACGCAAACAGAAGGAGGAGTCCACTCAGCCGGCATTTAATCCCTAGTCCCAAAGGCAGAAGGAAGCGAAGCGGGGCAGCCCTGGGGGCAGTGCTTCGGGGCCTAGAGGGTAATGGCTTATGCGCTCTTCCGGGTCGGATGACATCGGCATCTCGTAGGTCAACCTGCAGAGTCGCCTCAGAGTGGCACAGCACATCAGGGTGGCCTGCCAGTGTCCAGGGCCCCTCCGGGACTTGACGCCGGAAGACATGAGTCATGTAGCCCACATCAGCCATGGCAGGAGCTACCAAGCACTCGGTGTGCCCTACGCCTCGAACAAGAAAAGAATATGTACTTGGTGCGGCAGGTGACATGTCTTCACACTACTGCGCTCAGTAGACCATTGCTACACCCACACACTGAACCCAGAACCCCCTAAAGCCTCCAACCCTAAACCCTAAACCCTAAACCCTAAACCCTAAACCCTAAATGCCCGAAACAACCTAAACCCTAAGCCCCCAAAACCGCAAGCCCTGGAACCTGAAACTTGAAACCCCACACCCCTGAAACCCATAAACCTCAAACCCTCAACTGAGGCCCTCAAACCCCTAAACCCTCAAACCCCTAAACCCTAAACCCGAAAATTCTAAAACCCCTAAACCCTAAACCCTAAACCCCAAACCCTAAACCCTAAACCCTATACACCCTAAACCACAAAAACAACAAAGCCACGTCTCCCGAGGTCGCAGGTTGCCACAGAACCCGGGCCTTGTGAGCTCAGGGCTTTGTCCGACCGCCATAAACCGTAAACTTGCTTCAGGGTTTCGGGTTTAGGGTTTAGGGCTTAGGGTTTAGGGTTTAGGGTTTGCCCGAAACCCCGAAGCCTGCCCTAAACCTCCCCTCATATACCCTACAGATGGGCACTCCAGCAACACTCTGGGGCTGGGCACTCTGGGGACAATCTGGGGTTGGGCACTCGAGGGAGACTCTGGAGTTGGGCAGTATGGGGAGACTCTGGGGCTGGGCACTTCGACACTCTGAATTTGGGCACTCTAGGAGACTCTGGGGTTGGGCACGCCAGGGAGACTCTGGGGTTGGGCACTCCAGGGAGCCTCTGGGGTGAGAGACTCTGGAGGCTGGGCACTCCGGGAAACACTCTGGGTTGGGCATCTCGGGAGAGTCGGGCTTCTCTGGGGTTGGGCACTCCCGGTTGGGCACTCCAGGGATGAGCGAGGAGCAGACCGGGCGAGGAGAAGAGTTACGGGCGAGGAGAAGAGTTCTTTTTAAAATCTAACAACCCCACACCGAGGGTGGGGAAAAACTTCAGAACCCTTTGACTTAGTAGGCCAGTAGCCAGATTATGATCATGGCACCCTGGAACCTTGAGCCCCAAAAAAAGGGAGAAGGGTACCACCGGGTTATCAAGTTTAGGGTTTAGGGTTTAGGGTTTAGGGTAAGGAACCAGCAAAAGGGAACAGGTAACGACCCTTAGACCCTGGGCCACTGCGAATCCATGTGAGGTAGGACCTCGTTTATTGGTATCCCAAAAGGATACCCTCATCAGTTGGTACATAAAAAACTCTATTTCAGCTCTCTGGAACGTAGTAAAGATCGCGTCTCATATGCTACGTCCTGCCTCTCTTCGACCCCGTCCTCATATACTGTGATGCCCCCCAACCGAAACTGAGCAATAGAAGCAAATACAACAACTCGGGAGAGTATGTCCGTGACCCCGGGTTTAGAGTTTAGATCAGTTTAGGGTTCGGGATAAATGCGATATACTATTTGAACAAGTTACCATGATGCCGTATTAAAGCGCACAGTGGCACATTGGGCTTATCGAAATCATACGGGCCAGGGCAAAAGTACCCGCCCCTTAGCTTACAGAAGCTGTTCTCTGTACATGCGGCGAACATGATACGCCAGAAGGCTCAACTCATAACCCTAAACCCTAAAGCCGAAAACCAATAAAGTCATACCTGGGGCGCGGGCGGGCAGCGAAACACCCCGGTCCCTCCATGCTTTCCGCCCCGGAAGCTCCACTCGTCGCTGAGGATCTGGCAGATGAGGTCTAGGGTTAAAACAAGCAAAACCTTGTATAGTATATACGATTTAGGGCTTAGGGTCAGACCCTATACACCCCAAACCCTAACCCCAAAACCTAACCCCAAAACCCTAGCCCCTATTTGCTAAATTAACCCTAAACCCTCAACCCTAAACCCTAACCCTAAACGCTAAGGCCGGTTAAGTTGTTAGGGATTCAAGGGTCCTATAGAGGCCGAAGACTACCGCCTACTTGTATGTAAGTGGAACCAGTTGCAGACGGGTGGGCACCAGCCCGAACCCCAAACCCTAAAGCCTGCAGCGCCAAGCGATCAAACCTTTCGGGGTTGGTAACTTGGTGACCTGGAGCCTTGGATTTCCTGCTGTAAGGGTTCTGCTCAGGTCAGGTGGGGCAGTTTCCTGAGCCCTAAACCCTGAACCTTTAGAAGCCGGGTGCAGTCTACTATTGAGGTTAGGATGATCAGATTCATGGTTTCATTTCGCCGAACTCCAAGCTGTCAGAAACTACCGGGCCTTCGCAGCCGCTTGGGAAGCCCAAAAACAAGAGCTTCGGGGCTTCAGGCCCTCGCCCCCAAACCGTCCTCTATCCAAACTCTGGTGAACGCCCCATCTTGAATGCCTACTAAGAGCCACCCCAAAAAGGCAAAGAATAAACATCTCCAATATTCCGAGAAACACAAAGAATAATAATCCAAAAAAGACACCCACAAAAGATAACAATCCCTGTGTTGCCCTTATATGGAGAGGAACATCTTTAATTTGTTGGGGGGTCCTTAAGCAAATAAGTAGATACTACGAACGAGTACCCGCTACCTTCGAGATGTCCCTCTTTCAGGTACTGCCTAGGGTTCAGGAGCCACCACCCCCCCCCCCCCCCCCCCCCCCCCCCCCCCCCCCCCCAACCACCCCGGCGCCTGCACCCCACAGTGGAAGATCCCTGTGCCCAGTGGGCGCAGCCTCGACTGACTCTACGGGTTTAGGGTTTAGTGTCTAGGGTTTCTGGGTTGTTGGGGTTTAGAGTTTGGGGCTGAAGGTTTTGGGGTTTTGGGGTTTCGAAGGGCTTAGTGTTTAGGGGTTTAGGGCTGTAGGGTTTGGGGTTTTAGGATTGTAGGGTTGAGGCTGTGGGATTTGCGGTTTTTGGGTGTACGGGTTTATACGGTCTGGGGGTTTAGTGCTTCGGGGTTTTGGGGTTCATCCTTTAAGGTTTGCCCTTATCTACCTTATAAAGCCTGCTTAGTAAGTCTACTCAGTACCCCTTAGAAGCCCAAACATACTCAGCTACTAACTAGGTCAAAAAGGGCTTGCCAGCGCGGCCATATAAAGGGCCCATGTAAACCTCAGGACACAGGAACTACGGATCGTCATGGGTCCCCTACCACCCCCCTCTATACTACTCCTTGTAAGTTTCGCCCAGAATAAATTTAGGCTTTTTCGGGATAATTAAGCCTAATTGAGGTTCTTTGAGGGGGGGAACTAGGGGGGAACCCTAAACCCTAAACCCTAAACCCTAAACCCTAAACCCCAAACCCTAAACCCTAAACCCTAAACCCTAAACCCTAAACCCTGAACCCTGAACCCTAAACCCTAAACCCTAAACCCTAAACCCTAGCCTATACGGGAGGGTAGGAGGAGAACCCATGAGATCGAGGAGCAGGTTTCATCCTTATGAGCTAGCACCCTTATGAGCTCGGGACATTCCGTTCAAGAAGTAGATCTCAGTGGAGGTGTCCACGTCGTAGACCTTGAGGAGGTGCATAGAGGGGTTGTTAGGGTTTAAGGGTTTAGGGCTAGGGTTTAGGGTGTAGGGTTTAGCGTTTTGGGTCTTAGGGCTAGGGTTTAGGGAGGGTTTAAGGGCTTACGGTTTAGGGGCAGAGTACTCTAGTCTATGCTGTCTCCACCCTAAGCCCTACAAAGCCTCAAGACCGAATCACCCAATGCAACGAAAACAAACACGACTCAAGGGTTGAGGTTGTAGGGTTTAGGGTTTAGTTTTCCTTTGTCTGGGTTTGGGCATCATGAACACTCAACTCTTCCAAGGTCCTGACCACTGAAGTTACAAACGGCCCATTCGATGCATTCGTGACATGCTGTAGAGACAGGCAGGCGCTGCATGTGGTAGCTGTTTAGGTTGTCTCATTGTTCCTTCAACCCTATATCACGTAAACCTAAACACTAAACTCCCAATTGGCGGGGGGGGGGGGGGGGGGGGGGTGTTGAGTAGGGCAGCACTAAGCTCTCTGCCTACAACCCTCCAAGCCTTGTGCCTGGAGCTGGATACCCTTTAAGGGGTTCTGTAGGGTACCTCAGTCTCCCATTCCCTACTAACCAACAGAAAGC